TGAAGACTAATCCCTTTTGCAAATAGTAATAAATTAAGTAAATCTATCATACAATATCCTAGATTATTTAAAAAGTCTATCTTTATTTTAATCTCTTCATATAGCTTATTATTATTCTCTGTTTTGATTATTAATTTAATGTAGTATTTAATTGAGAAAAGTTTTATGACAACCCCATATATATATTACTGAATTGAAATAAACTTTGATAAGAACTTTCCTCTCTTTAGAAGTTAAGATAAAGAGCTGAACTGACACAGACAAAGTTAAAAAAATATTAGAAATTTATTGTAAATATAAGTGTTGTTGATAATTATCAAATTTACTATTCCTTCAAGTCTTCTAAAAAGCAACTTCCTTTGGATTTGAATAATTATCTTAAATCGTATCCCTAATAATTTATAAAATCTCCTTTAAAGATTAAAGCTCCTTATGCTTAAAATAATAATGTTTGAGATATTCGTATAATTGTAATATTGTTGGATACTAAAAAGTAATAAATAAATAAATACATGATAGAGGATTGTTTTAAGATAGTGGTGCTTTAAATTACGCAAGAATATTGCTATAATTTTTGTCCGCGGATGTAATTTCTTTTACATTCTGAACATCCCATAGACGAATAGACTAATCACAACTACCAGATGCTAATGTATTTCCATCAGGAGAGAAACAGACTGAGTAGACATAATTAGTATGACCATCCAATTTGGCTTTTTATTATCCTGTTTTGATATCCCATAGACGGATAGAGCAATCACCACCTCCAAATTAATTACCACCACCAGAAGCTAATGTATTTCCATCAGGAGAGAAACAGACTTAGTAGACATCATTAGTATGACCATCCAATTAGGCTTTTTATTATCCTGTTTTGACATCCCATAGACGGATAGACTTATCATGACTACCAGAGGCTAATGTATTTCCATCAGGAGAGAAACAGACTGAGTAGACATAATGAGTATGACCATTCAATTAGGCTTTTTATTATTCTGTTTTGACATCCCATAGACGGATAGACTTATCATGACTACCAGAGGCTAATGTATTTCCATCAGGAGAGAAACAGACTGAGTTGACATCATTAGTATGATTATTCAATTTGGCTTTTTATTGTCCTGACTTGACATCCCATAGACAGATCGACTAATCAGCACTACCAGAAGCTAATGTATTTCCATCAGGAGAGAAACAAACTGAGTTGACATCATTAGTATGACCATCCAATTAGGCTTTTTATTATCCTGATTTGAAATCCCATAGACAAATAGAGTTATCTTCACTACTTGATGCTAATGTATTTCCGTCAGTAGAGAAACAGACTGAGTTGACATCAGTAGTATGATTATCCAATTTGGCTTTTTATTGTCCTGACTTGACATCCCATAGACAGATAGACTAATCAGCACTACCAGAAGCTAATGTATTTCCATCAGGAGAGAAACAAACTGAGTTGACATCATTAGTATGACCATCCAATTAGGCTTGTTATTATTATGTTTTGACATCCCAAAGACGTATAGACATATCATGACTACCAGAAGCTAATGTATTTCTATCAGGAGAGAAACAGACTGATTAGACAATGCTAGTATGACCATCCAATTTTGCTTTTTATAATCCTGTTTTTACATCCCATAAACGAATAGACTTATCATGACTACCAGAGGCTAATGTATTTCCATCAGGAGAAAAACATACTGAATTGACAGTACTAGTATGACCATCTAATTTTGCTTTTTATTATCCTGTTTTTACATCCCAGAGACTTATAGACTAATCCAAACTACCAGATGCTAATGTATTTCCATCAGGAGAGAAACAGACTGAAATTACCCAATTATCATGACCATCTAATTTGGCTTTATTTTTCTTAGTCTAAACATCCCATAAACGGATAGAGTTATCATCACTACCAGATGCTAATGTATTTCCATCTGGAGAGAAACAGACAGATTAGACAATGCTAGTATGACCATCCAATTTTGCTTTTTATTATCCTGTGTTTACATCCCATAAACGGATAGAGTTATCATCACTACTTGATGCTAATGCATTTCCATCAGGTGAGAAACAAACTGAACAGACAGTTTCGCTATGACCATCCAATTTGGCTTTTTATTGTCCTGACTTGACATCCCATAGACGGATAGAGTTATCATCATTACCAGAAGCTAATGTATTTCCATCAGGAGAGAAACAGACTGATCTAACATTATGCTTTTGACCATCTAATTTGGCCATTTATTATCCTGACTTGACATCCCATAGACGGATAGACTTATCCAAACTACCAGAAGCTAAAGTAGCTCCATCAGGAGAAAAGCAGACTGAGTTGACATAACTAAAATGACCATCCAATATATTCAGTTCATGTATTCTAATGTTCTTCCATTTGCAATTGAATAGTTAAGCCCCATTCAAATTAATTCCACTTATATTTACATTATCCAATTCAGATCCACTTAAATTGCATCGAACAAAATTGGCTTCTACCAATTCAGTATTTTTGATCCTAATTTTTTGAAAATTTTTATTTCTTAAGTCCACCTTGATCTAAACTAATAAATATAATGAATTAGACCCACATTGTATTAAAATTGTATCTAAGGATGTGAGCTGAACTAAAAATACCAAAAATTCTATGATCTATTTATTATACTTGATGCTATTAATTAAACTTGATGAAGATAAATAATTTAATTCACTTGAATAGTTTTTATTATTGAAGTCATGATCTTTTAATTTTTTTAAGACATTAGTAATTTGTTTTACGTTATTTCTAACATCATATTATTTGTAATTTACTCCTCGTTGTAAAATTTATTATTCTAAATGTCTTTGATTTCCTTTATCTGATAGATATTAAATGCAATCTTAAATTTTTTCCTTTCTAAATATTTCTAAAATCACACCAAAAATTTGTTCTTCTACATCTTTAACTTATGCAAAGATGTCAGTTAGAACTTCCTTCTATTAAAAAGAGCTCTGCATTTTCTTTTTTTATTCTTAATATTGAATTTTTATGTCTCTAATTTTAGGTTAAATAATGAAAAAAATCGATAATAGTATCTTATGCATTTTAGTAAATTTGAAGTTCAGACATTGTGGATATTGGAAATTGATAAGAAAAGAGGTAGAATATTCCATTGAGAAATCATTTCAGCATTTGCATAACTTGATTCTTGAATAATATGGAATATCTTTATTTTTATATGAAGAGTTCAATTTATACATTATTTGAGTTCTATGATTGATTGATTCATTCTTCTTGTTTATCATCTCTATTTAAGTATATTAACAATTTCATGAACAATTTAGTTTAAAGATTCGAATATGTCTAAACAATCTTGTTCACTCCTTAAAATATGTAAAATGCAATATTTTAAAACTTGGATGAGTGAAATCATGAGGAAAAGAGTTTTCAGTTTATAAAGATTAGATCTTGCTAATTAGTATTAATAAATATGAATAGTAAAATAAGTCCTATTTTATGAGCTTTGAATTTTAGAGCGCATAATAAGCAATCAAACTGCTCTTGATTCTTAATTAATCTTTGGAGGACACTTATAAGTATTATAAACTTGTAGGTGGTCTCTAATGACCCTCCAAGACCTTCAAGGATGTTTAAAATTGATTGAAAATAATAGTCATAAAAATAGGATAATAGTTCTCCTCTGATAGAAATACATGAGTAATTAATATAAGTCTTTCAATTTAAGGGATGTTAAAACAGAAAAAAAAGAAAGCTAATTTAAATGGCCATGAGAATTGGGTAATGTAGAGAAATATATAAGTTTTTAATAGTTGGGATCACTCTATCTGTCTATTAGGATGCAAATAAGGTTTTTAGAAGCCAAGTAAAATGGTCACGAGTATTTGGTAAATTCAATTTGTTTCTCATCTGATAGATCTAATATATCATGGTAAGAGAAAGCCAAATGAGATGGTCAATAAAATTTGGTAATGTGAGTCGGTTTCTCTATTGGCAGCAGGATGTTAGCATCTAGTAGTAGTAACAAGGCAATCCATCTGTATGAATGGCAAATAATCAGAGGCAGTCATAATTAAAAAGCTAACTCAGTTTATTTCTCCTTATATAAATATATTGTCATATTGTGGTGCTGATTTCTCTAAAAATTGTACGAAAAAAGCCAATTTGGATGGTCATATAATTATGTTAGATCGATGTGTTTTTCTAATCATCGAAATATCTCATTATGATTATTCCTTCCGATTATGGAATGTTAGAGTCAAAATAGATTTTCAGAGTTCTTATATAGATCTTTCTGTTTATCTCGAAATATAAATATAATAACTTTTTGCAGTGCTAATATATCTATCAGTTAATGAGAGATGCAATCAGAATAATAAAAAGCTTAAATTGATTGTGGTACCCATTGTTTCCTTCCTTATTTATCATTAAAGTAGCTTCTGGTAGTGTATAGTGATTTTGTGAAATATGGTATGTACAAAATCTAGTATGACCCTTCTAATGGAGGTTACCAAGTCTTAGGGAAAATTCTGGTGATAAAAAATAATTGAGAAAAAAAAAAGTGAAGATGTACTTTTTGTAAAAATTGCTTCCACATTTTTGTTGAAATGAAAAGTGATATAAACTTAAGGTGTTAACTAACATGCTTAGAATTGTCATTTTTTTATATAAGTAATATTATTTTTGGATATTTTATAATAATTTCTAAAATCTAGTATGATCCTTCTAATAGAGGTTACTATG